TTTGGTGGCTTTTGAAGTTTTTTCAAGCTTTCTAGGCTCTTTTTTAGGTTTTCAAAGCTTTTTTCAGCTTTCTAGGCCTTTTTAGAGCTTTCTAGGCTTTTTTAGAGCTTAGCGAGTTCGGAATAGAGCTCGAAAATTAGTTTTTGTGGTAAAAGTCATTGTACTACCGATCTTTGACACTAGAAAAACTTTTTCTTGGCTGATCAGATTTTGATTCTTGATAGCGCAAAAAATGCGTCATGAATCAAGCTTTCAAAATCTAAAAAAAGTTTGGAAAAAAGCCAAAAAATAAAAAAAATATGTAATTTTTCCCAAAAATTTGCGATTCTTTGTTAGTTTTGGTGTGTACTTGAGGCGACCCGGTAATCGCGCACCTTCTGGCACATATTCGTTAAACCTTGCGTCGGGGTGGGCGTCGGCGAATCGAATTTATCGAAAATCAGCAACATTTTGGATATTTTTCAGGCCTATTCCCGGATAGCCGATGAATTCAGCTTTCGATTCCGACCCCACACAGGTAGCCTAGCTTCAATAGGTCAAAAGATCTGGAACGTTTTCTGAAAATGATCACTTTTTTCGAGATTCTTACTAGCCTATTGGCATTCTAGTAGGCCATTATGCTAAGAACTTTTATTAGTTCCCTAGGATTCGCCAAGAATCTAAAGAATTCTTTAAAATTTAGTGAACCGTTTGTATGCCAGAGAGTGGATGTTTAGGCAGTTTTCACTCAAAAAACCTTGAATTTCGGGACATTCATGGGTATGTTCAGGAAAAAAATCACCACCAAAAAGTGCTTTGCTCATTATTTATACCATGTATTTTGTTGAGATTTTGAAGATTTTGAATTATCTAAATTTTGAGAACTATTCTAAAAGTTCCCTCTATACATTTGGGTAAAAAGAACTTTTGTGATGGAATACGGATGGACATCGCAGATTTTTCCATTCCCAAGTGAGATTTTGAAAGGCTCAACCAACTTTTGGGCTATCTGGGAAGCACATGACGGCCTTAAATCCTTGGATATCACTCTGAGAGTAAAACCAATTTCACGCCGACAGCACTGACTCTGTTACTCATCTAAATTGCGGAGCTCCGTCAATATTTTTAAAATCTAATTTGAGTTCGGGGAATCCTGGAGGTCACACCGGGATCTGGCTACTTTAAATTTTGATTTACGAAATCGTGGTCAAATGTTGTTTTTTGGGATAGCAGCTGAGCGATTTGGGGTTGAGTTTTCGAGAAATGGCAAGGGATTTCGGGATTTCATTCTCGTGAAAAAACAAACAAACAAAGTCTTTTTTTGAAAAAACAAACAAATTTAAGCCTATTACAGTGGAATTCCGAACAGTTTTAAGTCAAAAAGTTGATTAGAGTAGAAAGTTGAATGATTAGAGGTAACTAAACCGGGAAACGTTGCAGCAAAAGGCTTCAAAAGGTAGCAAAAAGCAGCAAAAGGTGAGCATTTACCCTCGAATTTCTGCAACGATAATCCCCAAAAACATGCCAACGAACTCACCCTTTTCCCCTTTTCCATCCGCATTCCAAAACATTCTCATTTGTTTCCAATTTCCCAATTCATCACTTTTTGTAAAAAACTTCATAAAAGCATTCGAATTGTTAATGACTATTTCAATGATTTCAATGAAAATTTTGAAAATGAATTTGCTTAAACCATATTGGAACCATATGGATCAATACGGTTCCAATACGGTTCCGATTATGTCCGCTGTTGATAGCGGTTCGGTGACCCCTGCTTTTTATGACCCCCTCCGTGGCCATGGACGAGAAACTGCGCGTTTATTGGTCCCAGGTAGTACAAATCACCTCGACCCCAAAAAGCAGCGTCTGGCACATGGAGGTTTGGGGCAACCTTTTTCAGGTGATTTCAGGTGGTTTAATTACCCAAGTTTCCAGAGACCGCGCGTTTATGTGCATCATCAAGGTACAAACACTATTTTCAAAAAAAATAAAACAAATTTTTTCAATAACATTTGCAGTTTTTCGTTTTTTGTAATATTTTTAGAATCCTTTTTCGAATTTTACAAATTTGAGTTCTAAAGCATCTTTTCACGTCAAAACCATCTAAATCTGCGATTCATAGAAAAAGTGTTTCTTAAGGCAAAATTCAATCTCAAGGCCTTTCTAGCCGTCACGATGCATGAATTCAGTACACCTTGACTTCCAGGCAACCGATTAACTCCAGGCTGGTTTTAAAAGATTCCTTATGAAATTCGGTTATAGAAATCCATAACTTACTTACTAGACTTTAATATAACAAATAAGAGAAAATTCAGGTTAAAGTTAGATCAAAGAGTTCGGTACCGATAACCTTTAAAAAGTTTGGGGTAACCTTTAAAAGGTTTGGCCCGGGGCAATTTCTTTTTTAATCATGGTTTTTGAATAAGAAATTGCCCGGGCCAGAATCTGTAAAAGGCGGTTAACAACCTTTTAGTACAGTCAGAATGGTTGTTAACAAGCTTCTAATACAATGACAAAGGTTGTTAACAACCTTTTAGTACAGTGAGAAAGGTTGTTAATAACCTTTTAGTATAGTGAGAAAGGTTCTTAACAACAATTTCTTATTTTATCATGGCTTTTATCCAGGCTTTTCGGTAACGAAAGCCTTTTCAGTACCGAAAGTAATACAATAATCCAGGCCTTGGTACCGAGCAAGCAGTTAGCTGGTAATGAAAAGGCTTTCAGTACCGAAAGCCTTTTCGTTACCGAAAAGCTTTAATTACTGTATTGCTTTCGGTACTGAAAAGCAAGAAATCACTGAAGAAATCACTATTCTTTGAAGAAATCACTGTTCTTCGAACCCTTTAGTATTGAACCCTTTGGTACCGAATCCTTTAATACTGAACCATTCAGACCTGATAACCGTCTTCGAGGAGTCAATCATCTTTGAGTAACAACGCCGTCAGAATTATTTAGATCATTTATTGAATTTAAATAAATTGCAGAAATTGAATAAATTTAATCATAAATTATTCATAAAAAAAGCAAATTGTTTATGACATAAAACTTTTTAAAGGATCGATCAATAAAAAGTCTTTAGCTAGAGTATAGTTTCCGTTATTTGGAGATATCGTAACCCGAAATTGGAAATTATATGGAAAACGATGAAAGATAAGTGTTTCTTCAAAGTTTTCAAATTTTATATTTTTAACAAGGGAAAAATGAGCTTGTACAAATACAGTAGTAAGTTGATCATATATCAGAGACCGGTTTTCTATTTGATAGTCATAAAAATTAATCCATAATTTTTTATTGAAACAATGACAGTTCACGAAGAATTCCACGCAATTCACGAAATTTTCCAATTTATTATGGCTTAATGAAAGAGATACATTTTCACTCAGTTTTGACGAAATTTTCTCTCTAATCATATGAAAAGGAAAATTACTTAAGGAAATTGAACGTAATATCCAGCGATTTTCCATAAATTTCATGATTTCATGGTTAAGCTGGACAGAAATTTCATTTGATACCCTGAAGATAATACATCTATTTACTTGAAGCATATCAAATATTGAAAGAAGTGCTCCCAAGATGTCCGAGTTTATATTGGTTTGAATAAAATCGAAATTAATTTTTCGTAAAGGCATTCCCGGTTTAACGGGTAAAAACTTATGAACATCAAATTTTATCGTGCTTGTTTCAATTCCATAAATTTCAATACATTGTATATGTAAGTCAGCAAAATGTGCAAGTTTCCGAAAAATTCGTCGGTGAAGTGGATATTTTCTATTCATATTGTACCAGTATTGCGCAGATTGTATTGTACCAGAATAGTTTAGTTTAAAAAAAATGTCTTCCACAATTAAAAAAATCATTGACAAGCCAACATACGATTTTACGCAAATTTCTCTCTGATCGGCCACGATTTGACCATTGCCTCTCTCGATTTGTACGTTTACCAATGGTACAAAGATCAGTTCGAGATTTGACGAAATTGGTCCAGAAAATAGAATAAATGAACGTAGATCGTGATTTACTTTTAATAATTGAAGTGCTTGAAAAACTTCCAATTTTTTCCAATTTAAGCAAAACATTCCGAACAAAGCTCATAATTTCACAAAACCTATCCTAAATCAAAAATAATATGGCCCCTCACCCAAATCACCGCTCAAAAATACCTAACTAGCGTTTAACTTATCAAATTTAGTTCGAAAATGTGAGCTCTAGATTCAAAATGCGATTGAAATCTGCTAAGATAGCGCTAGTTCACCGAATCGCTAGTATAATACATTAAAAAAAGTTGAAACTATCAAAAAACACAAAAATCAAACGCTGCCACCGCTTTTAGGGTGGAGAGAAGGATGAAAATTTGAAAACTTTCACCGATCCTTTCCTTTAGCTGAACATCTCGAATTAAAGGCAATTTTTAAATGCGTTTTAGCGCTTTCGTTGAAGTTAAAGGAAATTCCAGTGCTTTATGATTTATAAAAAATTGAAACTTCTGAAACATTTCTGCAATAAAGTCGACTATTTGCAGAAATCGATTCAACCCGACAGCTTTAACGTTTCACTTTCAATTCAGCCTTGTTTTGGACGTAATTTTGTCGGTAATTTTATCGGTAATTTTGGCATTTTGGATGCATTGAGATTCATTTAAATTTTAGAACCTTCGACTTTTGAGCTTTCCTTCTGGAATTGCCTCTTTTCATTCTTATCTATCATACTGAATAAACTCTTGATAAACCGGTCAAAAGGAACAAATAAGAGATGCAACAGTTTAGTTCCATTAAAAACAATACTCAAAGACTGTTTCGATTTTTTTACCAATGAAACTCCAGTTCTACACATCCGATTGGTCGGGAACTCACAGAATTCTTATTTCTAAGCTTTAGAGGAGATTTCCCAGAGGTTCAGACCGGCCGGATGTGTAGCAGGTTTCTGAACTCTTTAGAAGGTGTCTGAACTCTTTAGAAGGTTTCTGAACTCTTTAGAAGGTTTCTGAATTCTTTAGACGGTTTCTGAAGGTTCCAACCGGGGTCCAGGGGCTGTAAACTAGGCTAGTCTTGGCCAATTCGCTGGTCTCCAACATTGCGTCGATAATTTGTGATTGGGCCATTGCATCCTGAAATGTCCAGAAAATCATAGCAACTTTAACAAAAAAGCTTTCGACTGTGGCTTCAAAATTCGACTCTTTGGGAATCTACTATATGTAAAATAGAAGAGGAATCTGTCTGTCTGTGTGTAAACGCGACGCTCTGTAATTACGTCTGTCTGTCTGTCTGTTCGTATGTCTCCACCTCCCTAGCGAGATACACGAAGGAAGTGAGCGTTTTCCGCTGGTTTTGACGATAATTTTACTGATGCCAATTAAGTGCTTTTTTCAGTGTTTTTCAGTGTTAAGTAGTGAGAAGAGTCAAAAGAAGCAGCGTACAGCGCGGAGAGAAATACTGTTAAAATTTCCGAAATAAACGTTTCCCGAAATTTAGTAGAGCTCAAAATTCTTTCGTTATCATTTATCACCCCGTTCGTTTCCCCTTTTGAATTTAGTGAGAAGCCAGGTGCGGTCGATTGTGACATCACATGTTTCGTCGTTGGATAGCTGCCTCAATTTTGAGTTAAATACAAGTATTTTGTAGATTTTATTATTTTCCACGGAGAAAACCCACTTGTCACAAAACTTGTTCCCATTGGCATTCCTGCAATACTTTGGCTCATTTTCTCCGCAAATTTCAGCTTTGATTCGGGAACGGCTGCGTGGGGTAAAGCACCGAAAATGTATTTCATAGCGTCGGCAAAGCGTCTGCCCGATAAGTAGAGAGTCGAAGGTTCAATCCCCGTTCCGTTTCTTTCCCATTCCTTTCTTCCTCATTGTCTTTGACTGGATTTATAGCAGACAATCTTACAACTATTCATTATCCTCAATTCAGTCTTTCATTTAAAACGATATCGATTGAAATCTTTTTAACTTCTCGTGCTCAAAAGAAAAGCTTTTCTCAATGACAAACCTTGACTCCAGCTTAGGCTCAGTGAAAGTCAGTGTCGCTGATTGTTTCAACGTTTTAGAGACGGCAACGATGAGCCACGAATCTCAAATGACGATTTGCCCAACTCTATTAAAATTGATTCCAAATTTCCGGAATTAGCAGGATTTTGTGACGTCAGCCATGTGACAATTGAAAACTATTTGCATCAACTTGGGAAGAAGGTTCGACATGGACAATGGATTCCACGTGAGCTGACCCAAGGCAACCAAATAGCTCGTGTCACCGAGTACTCCATCTTGCTTCAAAAGTGCAAACGCACATTCGGCAGAATCTTGACTTCTGCTGAGACTTGGATCAGTTATGACAATGTCACTAGAAAAAATCAATGGCTCTTTGCTGGTGAAGCCCCGCAAACCACCCCCAAGTCCGATATTCATGAATCAAAGCTCTTTTTATGGTGGAATTCGAACGGATTGGTACATTATGAAGTGCTAAAACTTAAGCAAGCAGTCGATGCAGACCTTTACTCGAAACAACTAGTGAGAGTTAGCGAAGCTTTTGCGAAATTGGGGATCAAACCGTCAAGAGTCCGATGATAACGCTAAAACACACTACAAAGGTTACTCATAAAAAAGTTACTCACAAAAAGTTACTCTTTCTTTTTTTCTCCAATTTCAATGTCTCCTTTTTCTCTTCTTTTCTTTTCTAAAAATTTTTTGATTAGCCACTTTTCTTTCCCCTTTCTCTCTCGACGATTTGTTTTGTTTGGAACTTGTTTTTGGCGGAGAATTTTCTTTCTCGGAGAAAAATTCTTGTTCATTCAATACTCGCCGATTATGTGACTCTTTTCTCAACAATTCTTATTAGACTTTCCAATTTAGCTCTAATTTTGAGTGAATTTTTCTGAAATTCTTGTTTTTCTTCACAGATTTGATCCAATTAAAACTTTTTATTACTGTAATTCATTTAATCTTTTCGTGTACTTTGTGAATGAATGAAATGTATGAAACGTATGAATTAAAATTTAGTTCGACTTTCAGATCAGTCCCCCTGATCTGATCTGCTCAGGGGGGACTGATTTGAAAGTGGTACTTTCTTTCAGCAAACCCCTATTTTGAATTGAAAATTCGAATTCTGCATCTAAAATATACGTTAGAAAAGTGTTTCTTATGATACTTCCTCATCTTCATTTATCGCTAAATCAAAACGTTTTGTAGTAAGTTTCTCTACTATAGCTGATCTCTGCACTATAATTGCATTTAGCATAGAATCTCAACAAAACCTTTACTCAAGAGCCACGTAGCTCTAAGGTTGCTGCATGCTCTCTAGCCCCTGATACCTCCCGACAAAACGTCAATGGTGGTACATCGTAAGCACATCATAAGATCATGAGTCTCTTAATAAACAATTGAAAATGTGCGTACCCAAGCCTGTCCATCAAAAATCGACCTTAGAAAAGTGTTTTTGATCATACTTTTGCCTCTTTACTGATCTCTAAGTCGAAAATTTGAGGATGGTACCATCCTTCAAGGATAGTACCACCCTTGAGGATGGTACCATCCTCAAAAACCCTATTTTTCTCGATGTTTTTATCGCTAAGTCTACAAAACAAATGAAACATTTACAAAACAAATGAAACAAATGCCTTTTTTACAATTTTTCTTTTTCTTTATGTTCTTCTTCAATTGTTCTTCAAGTGTTTTTGTTGAGCTTTCTTTTCTTTTTCTTCAAACACACGGTTCATTTAACTGAATCCAGCAATTTGTCAACTGGGGCTCACGTCTAGCTCTCTGCAAACACCAGTCGGATATGGATATGCCATATCTAAATCCAAACAGGCTCAATTGGCTCGTTATGTATTCTTGAAAAAGCCAAAGTAATCGTTTTCTGTGAAACCAATAAGGTTGATGGTAGATGTTGATATTGAAAAATGATAAAAACGAATCTATACTATCAAAAACTTGATTTTGATGCCACCAGTGAGTGAATTTTCCTTGTAATTCAAGAGTTCTGAAGTAGCCAGTAAAACTAAATTACAAAGTCAGTAAAACTTCGGTATTTCTTGAAATCTCGATTGATCTGGTTATGCTTTTATTTGGTGAATAAGTCTTTACTTGTGTGCTAAATGGGTCGACCCGGTGCAATTTTTGGAGAGGTCCGGTCGTCGACTTTTCTTAGCCGACTTGTCGACCACGCCGTACCTCCGAGGGATGACCAATGCGTGACTTTAACCAAAATGAAACTTTAACCGGCCAAAGCTCGAGGAATTTCACAATTCTTCGAGCTTTAGCGCATAAACCACCATTGACGTTTTGTCGGGAGGTATCAGGGGCTAGAGAGCATGCAGCAACCTTAGAGCCACGTGGCTCTAAGGAAGAAAGGAAGAAAGAAAGAAAGGAAAGAAGGAAGGAAGGAAGGAAGAAAGAAAGAGATGGAAACACCCCGGCTCCTACTTGAAAATCAAAGCCACAAGCACTAGTAAAGAAAGAAGCGGTATTAACAAGTTGTAAAGTATATTAACAACATTATTCGACTAATCCAATAGTACGTTATCTATTTAAAATAATAGAACTCACATCCGTGACATGCGGAAACCCCATAGCAAAGATGTGAACAAGCTCGATCGCCGCAGATCACACACTAAATTAGAACATAGAAACTCACCAAAATTCACAGTTTTTTTTGCTATTATTACTAGTTCTTGGCTTAAAGCAAGTGTACTTTTGAATCTAGTAAATATCTAGTAAAATCTTTCTTCCTTGTGTTAAAACTTCCTTTTTTTCTCACTTTGATTACTTTACTTTTGAATTTAGTAAATATCTAATCTAATATATATTTATTAAATATCTAGTAAATATCTAGTAAATATCTCGTAAAATCTTTCTTCTTTCTTTTGTAACTTTCTTTTTTTTTCTCACATCGATCACTTCCTTGAGTGTACTGTAAGGAGAATGATTGCTGTCATTCAAATTCGCCGGCACCTTAAAAATTCGATGAAATCGTTTCTATTTTCTTAACCGATTTCTTCAAAGAATAGTGATTTCTTCAGTGATTTCTTGCTTTTCAGTACCGAAAGCAATACAGTAATTAAAGCTTTTCGGTAACGAAAAGGCTTTCGGTACTGAAAGCCTTTTCAGTACCGAAAAGCTTTGATTACTGTCTTGCTTTCGGTACCGAAAAGCCTGGATTATTGTATTACTTTCGGTACTGAAAAGGCTTTCGTTACCGAAAAGCCTGGATAAAAGCCATGATAAAATAAGAAATTTTTCAGTACCGAAAAGGCTTTCGGTACTGAAAGCCTTTTCAGTACCGCCTTTTCAGTAGTTAAGAACCTTTCTCACTGTACTAAAAGGTTGTTAACAACCTTTTTCAGTGTACTAAAAGGTTGTTAACAACCTTTCTCACTATCCTAAAAGGTTATTAACAACCTTTCTCACTGTACTAAAAGGTTGTTAAGAACCTTTGTCATTGTATTAGAAGCTTGTTAACAACCATTCTGACTGTACTAAAAGGTTGTTAACCGCCTTTTACAGATTCTGGCCCGGGCAATTTCTTATTCAAAAACCATGATTAAAAAAGAAATTGCCCCGGGCCAAACCTTTTAAAGGTTACCCCAAACTTTTTAAAGGTTATCGGTACCGAACTCTTTGATTTAACTTTAACCTGAATTTTCTCTTATTTGTTATATTAAAGCCTAGTAAGTAAGTTATGGATTTCTATAACCGAATTTCATAAGGAATCTTTTAAAACCAGCCTGGAGTTAATCGGTTGCCTGGAAGTCAAGGTGTACTGAATTCATGCATCGTGACGGCTAGAAAGGCCTTGAGATTGAATTTTGCCTTAAGAAACACTTTTTCTATGAATCGCAGATTTAGATGGTTTTGATGTGAAAAGATGCTTTAGAACTCAAATTTGTAAAATTCGGAAAAGGATTCTAAAAATATTACAAAAAACAAAAAACTGGAAGTGTTATTGAAAAAATTTGTTTTATTTTTTTGAAAATAGTGTTTGTACCTTGATGATGCACATAAACGCGCGGTTTCTGGAAACTTGGGTAATTAAACCACCTGAAATCACCTGAAAAAGGTTGCCCCAAACCTCCATGTGCCAGACGCTGCTTTTTTGGGGTCGAGGTGGTTTGTACTACCTGGGACCAATAAACGCGCAGTTTCTCGTCCATGGCCACGGAGGGGGTCATAAAAAGCAGGGGTCACCGAACCGCTATCGACAGCGGACATAATCGGAACCGTATTGGAAGCGTATTGGAACCGTATTGATCCATATGGTTCCAATATGGTTCCAATATGGTTTAAGCAAATTCATTTTCAAAATTTTCATTGAAATCATTGAAATAGTCATTAACAATTCGAATGCTTTTATGAAGTTCTCCAGAATTGTTTTTCGATCGATCGAAAACTGATTATAATCAAGCAAAATCGATCAAAAGCCGATCAAAAGCCGATCAAAAATCGAATGAAATCAATCAAAAACAATTTGATTAGTTGTTTTAAAAACAAAATTACAACCTTGAAGTTGTTCCTTACTAAAGTTGTTGCTTATATTATGCTTATTTTTACCCATCTAACCCCTTAGACTTCTGCTGTGACATCCAGATCTGCGAAATATCATATTAAACTTGAAATACAATTAAACCCTTTCATTTCCAGGTAGTGAAGAGTGAATATCGCATATGTGGTGTTTGTTGACGCATATACCCATCTAAACCTCTAAACTTCTGCAGTGACATCCAGATCTTCAAAGTATTATATTGAAACCAAATTCCAATCAACAGCTTCCCTT